CAGGGACCTTTCAATTCGCAGGCCGACGCTCTATCCACTGAGCCACACCAGAGAGGGCTGGTTTTCCACTCTGACATCGTGGGGCTGGCCTGGCTAGTGTGGCTCAGTGGTTGAGCATCAACTCATGAACCAGGAGGTGAGGCTTCGATTCCCGGTCAAGGGCACATATCCGGGTTGCGGGATCGATCCCCTGTAGGGGGCGGGGCGTGCAGGAGGCGGCCAATCCATGGTTCTCTCTCATCATTGATGTTTCTCTCTCCCTCTCTCTCCCTTCCCTCTGAAATCAATTTTAAAAATATATATATAAAAAGAATTGAAAAATCGTGGGGCTCCCCCTGGCTGACAGGGGGGTCAGGACGGGGGCCGTTCCGCGTCCGGGAGCCACAGTAACGCTGCTAATTTGCACTCACACAGCTCGGCCCTCCCCGGGCCCTCCTAGCGTTTCTCAGACCAGTAAGTATGAGTCCAGCTCGTAAGTATGTCCCCTCGCCCCCGGCCGGGAAATCGAGGGTCCTCTCTATGCCCAACCAGAACCGGACCCGCCCCGTGGTGCAGGGGCCTCCGCCCCGGGCTCCCATCTCACGGCCTGACCCTCTCAAACCCACCCACCCTCCGACCCCGTGGCAAGACCTCATGGTCAGTGTTCGAGGATGGGCGGCCCGGTATCACCGGCCGACAGCCATCCGCCCCACTCCACTCTCCCACCCGCTTGCCAGGCCCTCGTCCTGTTCTACACATTTTAATTCTTTTTAAAAAAACATTTTATTAATCTCACCAGAGGATATTTGCCCATTGAATTTGAGAGAGAGTGGAAGGAGGGAGAGAGAGAGAGAGAGAAACATCACTGTGAGAGCGAAACGTCCATCGGCTGCCTCCTGCACGCCCCCCAGGGGGGATGGAGCCCGCAACCCGGGCCTGTGCCCTGAGTGGGAATCGAGCCGTGACCTCCTGGGTCACAGGTTGACGCTCAACCACTGAGCCACACCGGCCGGGCCCAGCTATGTCATTCGTTGCCGGGCGGCCCGTCGGGCTCAGCCGGCTCCCCAGCTGCAGGGCGAGGGCCTCGGACCCTACCCTGGGATCGGCAGGCTACGCAGTAAGCCGTTCCTTCCCCGAACCACCCCTCAGCGATTGGCGAGGAACCGGGTTTCTGGTTGGGCATAGTTTCCTGCGCTCAGTCCTCCAGCTGCCGGATGCAGAGGGCGCTCTCCGACACCCTTGATGCTCTGAGCTATGTCATCGCTTCGGGGATTGGGGGGGGGGGGGGGGGGGG